GCATTGCCCATCCGCAGACTAGCGCAAGCTACTTAGTGCGACAACGTGCAGAGAAGAGGTTGATGTCAAAACAGCAAAATTAATGTGCAGACTCATCTCAAGACTTTGGAATCTATTTTTTTAGTTGAATTTATAATTAATATTTAATTTAGTTTAAAAAATGGCGAAAAATATTACTTTTTGTTGTTTTTTCTTTAAAACGGTTTAACATTGGAAACTAAATTTTGGTACACATTATAAGCTAATTGAGTGCCATTCTATGGTAGTGTTTTTTACTTCAGTCTACTTTCATACAGTGTAGAAATGTGGAACTCCTACTTTTGTTTTGTTCAGAACTTTTTTGTGTGCACTTAAACTTTTATCAACAATTTTTTTTTAATTACTACAAGTTATTTATCAACTTTTTTATCTCTTATTGTTTTTTCTAAAGGGCACTAGTTTGCCCGCAAAAAAATTGAATCGTTTCGGCTTAATCAAAACTTTCCAGGCCGTTGGATTGCTAGAGGTCAAGAAACTCCTATAAACTTGCCTCCTAGATCTTCCGAACTAAACTCGCCTGATTTTTACTTCTGGGGCCATTTAAAAAAATACGGTATATTCACCAGAAGTGAATACAATCGAAGAACTTTAGGAAATAATTTTTAATATTTTCAACGAAATAAGAACTTCAGTGCAAACTTTCCGGTCTGTAAATTTTAAACTCAATAAAATACTGCTGCTTAGCTAACATTAGAATGGGTACTTAAATTTAATTTTGTTTGTTTATATCGTTGCGCATATTGTTACCATGTTTTTATTTAAGTAAAATTTATTCAAACTTAATAATTGTAATCTGAACCAAAATACACATTTTAGAAAAATAATTTAGCTTGTTAGGAAGCAACTAATAATGCGTACCAAAATTGTTATATGAAAACGTTATAAGATTTACAAAAATTAACTTAATTCCTTACACATTTTGAGAACGACAAAGGAAACGATTTTATGTTTTTGCGGGCAAACTAGTGGTATTAGGAAAAAACAATAAGAGATAAAAAAGTAGGCAAATAGCTTGTAGTAATTAACAAGATTATGTCGAGAAAAGTTTTTAAGTGCACACAAAAAAGTTCTGAGTAAAACAAAAGTAGGGGTTCCACATCTCTACCTTGTATAAAATCAATCTGAACCACGAAACACTATCATAAAATGAAACTCAATTAGCTTATAAAGTATGCCAAAATTGAAGTTTCTATGTTTAACCGTTTTAAAGGAAAACAACAAAAACTAATATTTTCCGCCATTTTGCAAATCAAATAACTCAACAACGAAACCTCAAATTTAAAAAATTCTCAGGATTGCCTTCCTCCTTAAATAGAAAAACACGATGTTAGAATATTTTAACATATTTGCGGAACACCCTGTATATGAATTATACAATTATATTGGGCTCGGAAGTTTGTGTTTTTGCGGGTTTTTCACTTACAGTTTTGTATATGGCGTAAACACAACCAGTAATAATGATTACATATATAATTAATGTCCATAAATTGACGCAGGTGACTTCTAGGGGCGTTGTCAATTCTTGAAGGTGGATTTTCTGTTTTTCTAATTTGTTGTCGATTTGCTTGGTTTCTTCGATATTGATTGATTGTAAATCAATATAAGGGTTGCCTAGGTGTGGCTTCGGTTGAAGATAATTTGCAGATAAGTTCAGCATCGGTAGGGAGATGCTCTCGTAGTTTAATCGGGCTAGTTGTACCGGTTGTAGGGTGGACTTTTCGATTGTCAGGCTACATTCATTGGTCAATTCGATTAAATGGGAACGAATGAGTGGAATATTGTCTTTTGTATTGGGGCGCAAAACAAACATTATCACTTGTGCTTGGAATGTCAGTATCCTATTTCCATTCCTGATTTTGATTATTTGGATTTAATGTATATTGATTCGGAAAGAATGGCAACTGGTGATATTTTTTCTGTGGGATACCAGTAGGGACAGCACATGGGGGATTGTTCACGATGTAGTTAATGTGGTGCGTTTGCACAGGTATTGATTTGGTGATAGTTCTTGGCAAACTTGGTCCACGTACGAATATTTAGTATCGCTAATTGCAAGGTATGGTTCATGTGGAAAGTTTATGTGGAATTCAGTTGATTGGTTCCTAGGGATAGGTACTCGGTATAGTTGGTAATAGTGATACATTTTTGATTCAACCAGTGGAATTTCTAAAATGAAAGTAACCACTAAACCCTTTGAATAGCTTTTATTGTTTATGATTCTTTCCAAGTTTAAGGTGTTTTACATTTTTGTTTCTAACGGTAAACTGTCAATTTGCGATTGAGTTTTCAGTTGCTCGATTTCTTTCATTAGTTTGCTTGGATTGATTATTGAATTGTGGAGCACATTTTTGTTTTAGGTCTTAATTGTAAGCTTGTTGCAAAATCTTATCTTTGCTTAGTGTACATTTTATTGATGCTAGTTTAAGTTACATTAATGTAACTCATGCGCTGTACTTTTGAGGATGTTACATGCGTGTTTCGTAAAAAAATATTGTATCAGCACAGATCAGCTAAGTATTGACTGCAGTTACGGTTTAGAGTTTCGTTGACAAAAAAAGAGCCCTCATTGGACGAATACCAGTTAAATCGAAAATTTGGGTCTTGGTTTGCTCTGTCGCTAATAACTTTGCAACGTTGCAGTCGCGTATAGTCATCCTCGTTCAGCTCTTGCACTAAATGGATTTTATCTTTTACAAATGGTTTTTAAATATTCGTTCCCTGAACACTTGAAATTTCACTCAACTGCCACGTACTTATCTTTGATTCTTGAGTTACGTGTCCTTTAACTGATACTTCCATTGCTTAATTGACTTTTGGATTTACTCCACACTTTTTGCTCAGTACCGAACCAGTTTAAATACATTTTCCCACTAATTCGAGGACATACATTCGATTGACATGTTTGACTGCATGCTGTTGGTTGAAAATCTCATCGGATAGGTCTCCATAGATTTACTATTTGAAGCGAATATTGCAATAAATTCAACTCTTTCAGCTGTATTGTAACAAATTTTTGTACAATCCAGAAAATTACAAAAAACCACTGAGTAACATTTTAAGATAAGTTCAAGCGTTGATCTGCCTTGTGGTATTGAGAACGAAGTTTTTAATGTTGTTTGGGATCTTGTGCTAGATAAATCACGCAAGAAATAAATACCAAGCTTTTGACCGGTACCAGAAATGATGCAGTGAACGAAAGGTAAACAAACAAAGGACATCGAGCACCAATGGGATGATGGTTTATGTATTTTGCTTAATTTGTTACAATATAGGTACTAATAATCCTTTCTAGCTTGTTAAGTTGAGTATCTTTCGTTCGCTGCACCATTGCTGGTACCGATCAAACGCTTCTTGGTAGTTGTTCCGTGGTTTCCCTGTCACAAGATCCCAAACAACATTAAAAGCTTCGTTCTCAATATCCAAGGCAGATCATCGCTTGAATTAATTATAAAATGTGTAATTTTAAGACACAATTTGACAATGAGAAATTCTCATTACCTGAGTTCTGTATTCAATTTTAGAACTAATTATTTTTACTCAAATAATCATTAAATAAATAATCGTGATAGTTGTAGAACAAATGTTGTACTTACATCACATCCTACTGGTTACGCAAATAACTATTAGCTCAGTACTGACTAATGCTGCCATTATAATATTTTTGTTATAAATATGTGAGCCTCCTCACATGCGAAGCAAAACCCCAGGGGTCCGTCAAATCCAGAATTTCACAAATGCCGAAAGACTACCTATTTTAAAGTATAAGTTTTAATTTCTCCTAGAAATTTTTTATTTAGTCATTTTCACTTTGATAGACTGACCTACAAATCTAGCAACAACAAGTTATTGAAATTAAATTTATATAAATAGTATTAAATTTTGTATCCACGTGTGGGGTTTTCAATAATTTATTCAAACTTGTGGGTTTCTGCTCAAAATACAGCATGGTCTTGTGATATTACGGTTAAACAACTATCTATAAGATATTTAATAATCAAGTTCAGTAAAATTCTGAATAATTATGCTTCCGTATTCTTTCAAATATTGCCAATACGGGATACATAATAGTTCATCTACGTTTTTTTAACTATACTAATTGGATGAATAAGAAGAATTTCGATGACAGGAATCTTAATAATTTTGTCCCATTTCCAATCTCTCTTGAGCCGGTGTTGCTTTGTAATATCTGGCTCAAAACAAGAAAAATACGTTCTCCCTCACAGAAACGATGACACGACCCTTTTTTGAAACTCCTTTCCCAATAAAAATTATTTTTAGTTTTTGCAAACAGGTTTGAAGCCCTTTGAAATTCTTCAAACTTCAATGTTTTCCAAGTTGTTTGATTATTCCTACTTTGCAGAGCAGATATATTAGCAATTAATAAAAATGCGTACAAATCTGCTATGCGATGCTGCAAACAATAGAATTGGGGAATCTTGTGCAAATCAGACATATGCATATTTGTGGTTTTGCTTGGAACACGAGTTTTTCCAATGATGGTTTACAGAGATTTGTGGGATTTAGTTTTATCTTGAGAGCTTTATGTAATGTGAATTATTTAGATATGGATCAGCCGTTAACTGCAATTCATTAATTTTGTGAACATTTTTGGCACCTTCTCATCTACTTTTAAAATTAAGAGATAAGACATACATCCTACTTTTTATAATTTATATTGGTTTACAAAGATTCCGCCAATTCAATTGGTTGGGGTAAATTAATGCAATTTTGCCAGCGTTTAAGCTTACCATACGTTGTTTTTACATATGAAGTACGAATATTTGTGGACTCAATAGTCACATTGCATAATTATACTGAGGATTGTTCATGGCTGAATGCTGCAAAAAAATTTCCCAGTGTTTGACTTAATATTCTTGCAGTATTTAATAACTGCATTTTTAAACCCTGTCACTGTTCCTTAACATGTGATTATGAACACATAATGAATAAATAAACACAAATGTAAAAATATTATTTATTTTGATAAGTTTACGTCTGTATTTTAACAAAGGTTACTAATTCTATAATACTATTGAATTAGTTTAATTAAAATGTACATACATTCTACGAATGGAATTAAATCTTATTTACAAAATTTACAAAATTCGGTAATAAAGTTTGGCCCATTTTAAATTGGAGGAAAATGCCTAGGTATACAGATAATATATCATTGATACTAAATCACTGGTGATAGATTTCACAATATATTTATAGTAGACATCTAGAAATTTGCCACGATAGGCCTACCACTACTATAGAATGGTAAATTAATCCTACAAATCTATTAAAACTTTCAGCCTCTTTCATCTACAAACTACATCGGGCAACGTATTTAATATAATTTCCCATTGTCCCGGTACTCCATCACTCCATCAATTTAGTTCTAAACATGTTAACTGAACACACTCAATCACAACACATTAAATACATTTAGGTACATTCAAGTAATGATCGCCAACGTAATTGATATTTGTTTAGTGGGAGAGCCTGTCCAGAATAAAATTTGATATTCCAAAATAGTAGTCCGTGGGCTTTGCTAAAACAAATAAATTAACTTAAGTATACATAGTTAACTATGCAATTCATTAAGTTTGCAGCTGTGTGCAATGTTACATTTCATCGCATTCATTAGTTATGCCTATAGGAATTGGTGCAACAATAGCATGTAACCCTGAGGAAATTTCAAGCAATTTTAGATGTTTATACTGAACTGTGTGAACTGAACTGAAATATTGTGTTTGATAGATGCACTTTTATATTTGGACGAATTTCTGATACGAAGTAAACATAAAAACCATTTAAATACTGGTGCGCAAAGTTAATATACTGGCAAGGTGTTGTAATTCACAAATCCAGAAAGTTCCAAAAATACTTACAACATAGTCCAGAATAGTGGCTCGATTCAAGCAAACCGTATTGATTACAGCTGGGGTGCCCCTTTTCATACGGAGTCTGACCCAAAACGTTCCCTCTGTAATTGAAATAGAATTCATTACCATCCAACAAAGGATCAACGGTATAAGGGTCATTTCAGTATAGCAGTCTAGACCGACACCGTGTAAATGAATATGTTTTGCAAAATATCCAGTAATTAATATTACACTTCAATATAATAAATATATTTTATAGAATATTACGAACCAAAAAACATGTTTTAGAAACACGTGTCTTTGGAGGTCTGCATAGAACAACCAACCTAGATTTTATGTTTGTGATTCGTTTATGGACTTTCAGCCTATATGTGATTTTATAAAGTCTGTGGATGGTTTAATATCAGAACACTCATGATGTTTTAATAAACCTAAGAAGTGAGATCGAAATAAACCGTCCACTTCAACTCCTACGGATGGAGGCAAGACAATTATTCTGCAGATGCAGATTGGATATCGCATTTTAACAAAAAATAAAAATGCAAGAGCTTCAACAGTTGGCGGACATCCGTGCTTAAACTTTTTATATCTGGATTAGTTAGGCACCTTATCTGGACGGACATATTAAAATATACAGTACCCACGATTCATATGCGGAAAATAGCATATTTGCTGATTCATATGTAATTAGAATTGCTAAATGTATTTTAACGCCACAAATGCATCGGAGTTACACTTGTCCAAAAGCTTTACGGCCTACTAAAGCTGCACCAATCCTGAACAGGTCTTGTGGCACTCAAACTCGAGGTCCACCAAACGTAATATTATGTCTAAAAAAACAAACACGTTTCTGCGTCTAACTATGGAAAGACTTTGCAACACACTTGCAGGAGAAGTTGATTTTTCATTATTCTAATCTCTCTGTGCTTCCATTGAAAATCTGATTAGAAAAGTTACTCTTAGTGCTGATTTACAAATTTTGAAATTAGTGTCGAAACATCCTTAGATTGTGAAGTAGATACTGAAAACATAATGAAAAAAACTGCTGCTAGCGTGCGGCGCATAAGGTATTGCGAACACTTTTTACCAACGTTCATATAAGAGATGTAAAGAGAGGCAGAGTGCATTCATAAAACAGGAAAAAGGTAGCAATATAAATAAACGCAGGACTTAAATTATAAGGAAGTAGTTTTGTCGCCTGGAGTGTTAACGCCACTCATCACTCACATAAATGGAATGCAAACGAAAGCAAACTGACAGCAAACTAAAATTTACGAAACAGGTCCAACATATCAGAACAGAAGCAATAAAGCGAGCTAAAGTTTTTTGGTCACTAACATACAAAAACCAAGGGATAAGTACGAGGACAGCAACCCAAATTTACAAATCAATTTGCAGACCAGTACTTGACTACTGTAACATCCTACTAGCAAATGCAACGAACAGAACAAAACCACATCTCCAAATCACAGAACAAATGGCACTACGAACCATAACGAGGATAAGACATCCAAACTACCCACTGCATAACCCACCAACGCAACTGCTGTACGACCTGACACGGCTACCAAAAATAATGGACAGACATATAGTACTTCAACAAAAATGGAGTAACAGAGTAAACACCTGGACAGTACTGAAGCAACTGTGATTATCAAGGCCCACACGAAACTCACGTTACTTACACCCTACGGAAACTCTACTAGAACACTACAATAATGCATAGACCACGACATGACCAAATACTTAGTTTTTACTTCTAAGATTGTTAAATTCTTGTATAGTGATAATTGTTACTTATTTTTTTGCTAGTCATTAAGTTGTTTTTTTTTACTATCATTGGGCGGAAAGACCGCAATGGTCCATAGCCTTTTCACCGAATAAAGATGTTGTTGTTGTTGTTGTTGTTTGGAATGCTATATAACTTCTCCTATAGAAACTCAGCACATGTCTTTTTCAATTTTTAAAATTAATTTTAGATTTTTAAAATTTTCAATAAAATAGTTTTTTGCACAACTAAACTCGTAATTGAAGAACTACTGACTAAGTATTGAAACTATTTCAAACCGTCGGTGTGTTTTTATTTGTAGATAAACTAACTAAACTCAACTACGAAATATGAGACATAATTGCAAACTTGGCAGGCAAGGTATAAGCAAAATATATCTAAAGCAAAATTAGAGTACTTTAGCTAAGTAAAAATGTAAAGTGCTTTAAACGCAATACTTAATTTAGGAGAAGACTCTATAAGACAATATCAACGAACCAAAAACTTCAAGCAAACTTGTTCACGATGTTCCAAACTTAATAGTATTTCTGGGTAACTCTATTGTAATTGCCTTCTGTTCTAATGGTTATTTTAGTAGCATTATAATTTCCCGTACGCCGATATATTAAAGCTAACTTCTTGTAGATCAGTGCGTGTTCGTTAAACGTAAGCTGATGATTAAAATTTGAATAATGAATATGTTGTTTTTGTCGAAGATGAACGAAACACAAAAAATCAAATTTTAGTATAAAGTACCAAACGTCCTGCAGCAACCACACCAGACCCAAAAAAGATTGATATTCTAGCCTCCTCTATCATTATACAGGGTGATTCAAAATTGTCGTCATTCCTTTTAAGGGGTAATAGGGCAAAAATATTGAAAATTTTTTTCGATGGTTTCTAGAAGATATTAGCAGTTGAAAATTGAATTTCAACTTTGTTATTAAGCATTATTTTGAAAGTGTTCCATGTTTAGTTTGAAGCATTTTGGAATACTTAAGCATTCAAAAAGAAAAATTACGATCTTTACTTCAAATTACGAAAATTTTTTTAAGAAAAGTTCGCTTCTACAATTTCTTGATAAAAAGTCAAAGCGGCGATGGTGTGTTTTGTCATTAACAGATAGTACAGGTGGATAGCCCTTGTCAATAATAATACTAATGTGCCAAACTGCGTTTATTTCCTTTCTCTAATTTGCGGATATGCAATTAGTTCAGCGGAAATGCTACAGTAACAGAGCAGAAGCTGAAAGAACTCACGTCAATAAAGGGCGAGGATAGTGGTTCCAGGTAGACCACAATCGATTTTTAGGTTCCAGGCACAGAGGAACAAGTATTGGACATAATTGCAGAAGACCCTTTCAGGGGTACTCAGAACATTGCACATCAACTGACGCTCTATCAGGCACGAAATAAATACCGGCTACATTTCTACCACGTATGTAAGATACACATTAAACCAGTGGATTACTGAACACAGGTATAAATTGAGCAGGAGTTAATTAACCGAATACGAGAAGCTGCTCGAGAAGAGTGCATGATGAAGTTGTAGTAAGGATTACAGAGGCACTTGTTGGGAGTTACGGAGTCCAATGTATGTTTGTGTAATTTGAAAACAGTCATTCCCCTACAGAGGAATGACGCCAATTTTGAATCACCCTATATACATATGTTTAAAATTAATCCATTGACTGGTCAATTTTTATCATATTTAATTGGCTGCAATAAAAAATATTAAAATTTTCTGATGGCTAATAATTTGTGCATTTTTTAAATTTTATTTACATCCAATACAATGAAATCTCTATTTTAAATTATATAATGAACGAAACGCCAAATAGTTAAAAATTATGTATTTTACACAAACATAAATAAAAAACAAAATAAGAAATATTTTAAATTGACTTAAAGCCATTTGTGAACTTAACTGAAAGTTAAACTTATTTTACTAGGACCAAAAAAATGTCATGCGCTTTCTTTTCGAGTGACGCTTTCCAAATAATGTGTGATCAAAGCAAAACATTAGAGTTTGTTTCAGTGCTTACCCTGGGCCATAATTGCATACGTAGTTTTTTGTGTATCCTTTCGACGGGTCGTAATAAAAGGCAAATCCGCATCCTATAAGATTGGTCTCAGCCCATAGCATCTAGAAGTAAAATATGAACTTAGTTGAAGCCGAGAAATCTTGTGTTATAGGACCAAATTATTTTACAAATATAGCAAGATATATTTGCTACTTAAATATATCGATTAATGAAATTATCTGTTATTGGACAATGATCCAGGTTTTTTTAAAATTTGCACTATTCTAACGGGTCGCATATCAAGGAAGCAAATTTGATATCGTAACTTTAATTTTCACTAACTTAAGAAATAATCAAAACAGCTTTCCATGACATAAATATACCACCAAATAGTAAAAGTAGAAAAAACTGGTAAACTACCTGTGTATAATGCCCTGTTCGTCCTCGACCGATTCCTCCAAAATTAAAGAGTTTGTATTCGTTGAACCATTTGCGAATAGCGTCGGGAAAATCTGAATCAATATCGGAGTAAGTGGATGGAGGTTTCGTCGTCCACGTTGTCGCTATATTTTGGCCGACCGGAAACCTGGCTGAAAATTAAAAATACTTTTTCTTTTACTCCATTACCGAAATAAAACACTGAAACAAAACTAATTGGAAGCGGTCATCTGACCTGGACCTAGTTATCGGAAACTGGCTGCACTAGAGTAGGCGCTAGTTGAACGAGTAAGTTTTCCAATCCGGAAACTTCATTAACCGGTAGTTGTAATTAAAATGCTCTTTTTTTGCTAAAAATTGTTAGCCAAGCGAAAGTCCTAGCTGGACTAAATTAGATTTATTTCAAGAGTGTCTGAGTGGCCAATAGCGTAATAATTACTTTTAATTAAATTTGATTTAAAATAAATTAATATGCAGTTAAATTTCTACCGGCTTCAGCAGGCTAGAATATTGAAATTAAATGGTATAACTGGACTATTTTTGATTTGCAATCAATCATATTAGAAAACGATATTAATGAGAAAAATAAAAAAACAAAAGCTGAGGAAAGTGTAGAAAATCGATACAATGATATAGTTTTTCACAAGGAATCCAATTACGGAATTCTAAAAATATTAGTAAAATATTTTTGATTTAGCAACAGTTCATCAATAGCTATGGAATATTTTCCTTAAATCTTGCCTAATAACCATGCAGAATTATCTAACACATTTCTAAAATAACAATGTTTCATCGCTTTCATCAGAAATAGGCATTACAATGATATCAGGTTCACTAACGTCCAATATTATGTTAGTGGCGCTTTGTAATTACCGGCTTATATCCTTAATTTTCCACTATAAAATATGGGCTGAATAGTAATAGTGATTTTCGGAAATCTTCGTTCTATGTAAATGACTTTCTATAAATACACATACAATAGAAACGAATTCATGAAAATGTAGTAATAACTGTATATTCACGTAAGTTATTCGAAATTAATTCGTACTTTAAAAAATATGATAATTTTTTTTTAAATATGCATAAGTTAAACACGATGTGTCTAAAAAAAGTTTTCATAGAATCAAATGTTGCGAACAGCACTTTTCCGGTTCTCAAAAGACGTAATTGGTTATTTTATTAGAGAACTTGTTCTAAAACATGTATTTTACTATTTGTCCGAAGCAGTCTGCAGCAAAACTCAAGTGTACGCCAGTAGTTAGATAAAATATTAATAAATTTCAATTTATTGGGACGCACCTCAGCTGCTGAGCAACTTTATGGTTCAGCGGGGGCAAAATTTTCATTTATTTAACAAAAATTCAAAAAATAACGTATCTTTATTTATTACAAAATATTTGTAAAATTTAGGTACATATGGCACCTGTGAATGAAAATCGTCTAGGGGTATTTCTGATCCTTGGGTTCTAATATACCAGTAGTTACCCAAGTCGGCTGACACTTGTTCAATATTCGTATTGATTAGGTGAAGTTTTTTGTTTGCAAAGGTAGGTTTAGCACTGGCAAGTACTAGATTAATGCAAGTTCGTCAGAGGTAATAGATTTTTTCACTTAATCCAATTTAGTTATTGATTTCATGTATGTACGGAATTAAGTCTATTTTCTGAGAGAAAATTCCAGAATGCAATTAATTCAAAGTCGCATATATTATGAAGACTTTTTGACGTAGACAAATAACGTTTTTTCGATTAGATCTGTCTGTTCATGTGTCTGACCGATAACCGATCGATAATTGCATTTTTGCAATAAAAGACTGATATAATATACATATTCTACGAGTATCAAAACTCAATAAGAAATACACTCCACTACATATCAATGTGCAAACCTGTGTAAACCAAGTGTATAGTAAATAACTTTTCTGAAGGTACATTTGTAGAGTATTGGTGTTCATTTTAAATGATTAAAAATGTTAAAAGCAATTAGTGATAGGTGTTGCTTTGTTTATATTGAGTTGATCGGTCAATAGATAATGGATAATAATAATTTCTTGGGCCAAGGTTGCGGCTTTATTCAAGCCATCAACGGGGCTCTAAAAAGTAACAGAGTGGCTTGTCCTAAAATTGAATAAAAGTTACTTGTCATAAATATAAAATTCAAACGGAACCGAAATCACAGTCAAACTGAATATAAAAGAGAAAGGACAAACATATCTATTTAACGGTAACCACAAGCAGCCAAAAAGTTCAAAGTTAAAAAAGTTTTAAAAACAATATTTGGCATCATCAATCATAACTAGGGACACTCATCAAGGAGTTAGTGCATTTCCCCCGTATAACATTGGACAGAGCATGTTAACAGAGGAAGATGTAATATTGTACTAATTTAGTTCTTCATTGTGCTCGTATTTGAAAAGTGTGAAGAAAGTCTATCTGAAAAGGAAGCATTAATTCTTTGCTTTAACATTTATTTATTTGTTGTTATCAAAAAAACATCATTCCAAGGTTTGTTTCTCTTTTCGACTATAGTAAGTGGTTCGATGTTCGTCACTTTTTAATTTCTAGCAGAATGTTGATATAAGCCTCGTTCAAATTTTCAGTGTCCCTTCTAAAATTAATCGAGTCATGGATTTCAATGAAGATTGATTCTCTCAAAAGTCTTTTGGATGGTTGCAGTTGACAATTCAAAATTTTGAGATTGTTAAAGTCAAACCTATGGTTTTGAATTGTTTGATGTTCTACCAATGCGGTGGTGCTGACAATATTGGTCTTTGTTGTATCTCTTTTATGTTTAGAGATTATCTGCTTTAGATGTCTATCTGTCTGTTCAAAATAGCATTGACTGAAATCAGAACAAGGTATTTTGTAAATTATGTTTGACTTTAATTTTGGAGTATTGTTTCAGCACATTGCTGAAGAAGTTTAAAGACGCATGCTTTACAATCTCCTACACTACTTTCTCTACAGGAAATAGCACGAAAAGTCAAATGCTGAAACAATGCTTTTGAAGTGGCCAAAGGTGCAATTTTTTTGCACAAATTTCATTTTAAATAATGTTACTTCTATAACTTTATTATTTGTGCCTGAAATGTCTGAAATTAATTCACTGAAAAATTTATTCGTTTAATTATTCACTGAACAATTCACTACTGAAAGCAAAATTCTACTTACTGTTATGCCGACCTTCGTCATGTCTTTCCGAGTGACAAGAAGCCGCCCACCATTGAGCACGATTTGCCAACTCGTCGTCCCATTTCTAAAGAAAAATAAAAATGCTTGATTTTAAAGTGTAACTAAATACACGTAATTCACGAATTAAAATTAATGTCTACAATTGCAAGATCATTCAGGCTGTGATTTTCGGCTCGCTCTAAATTGCCAAATAGAAACAAATTGATGAATAATGTTGGCGCTTTGTCCGAATAGAGAGTAGAGTAGAAGATATTTACATGCTTCAAATGAGAAATATAAATAATAAAAATTTATTATGTTCTAAGGTAATTTAATACGTTTTTAAATTTTCTAAATCAAAACTTAAAGTTGAATCATACATTTTATTACTACAAAAATATAAGAATGTTTTTTATTTAAAACACGAAGAAAACTGTTGATTTATTCATCTCATAAATGGGCAGTCTGGTGAGGATAGTTGGTTGGCTATTATGGTATTGTCAATTGGACACGGAGGTGAATATGAGAGCCACTTGATCTTGTAGTAATACAGGAAAAGTCATTGATTAATCGCCACCGACTCACCAAATATATGAGATTAACTTTTAAAAATTTGCATAATGTTGCTCGTTAAAAAATCCAATGGATATCATTATCGCTCAGCTAATAACTATAGGACTGTGACTAATTATCAAATTATAGATGAAAATAAAAACACATCGTCCGGGACTAAAATACTAAAATAAACGCGTTTCTGATCAATTTTACTCGTGAAGTTCTCCTATTCAAATTAAACTGATTGATCACATTGCCGGACTAAGACTTTTCGTTCATATGGTTAAGGAAAAAATGGTATTACCAGCTAATAAGCGAAAACTAGGACAAGGTAATGGGTGAATAACAAGTGTCCATCTTTTAATATATTTAAAAGAGGCAATTATGCATGGTATGTTTCAGCAATAAAAACGATAACAATGATGCTTATAATGTTAAATGTACTAGTTTGCTATTACTGAATAGGTCTGTCGCATTATTTTTTTAAATTCGGTCTTTAAATAATCTGATTACGGTCAGTACTAGGGACTTACGACCCTTGCAATACTAGATTTGAGACTTAGCTAACTCCGACCCGTGCAATATTAAGGGGTTGTGTTTAAATGAAAATTACATTTTGTTGATATCAACATATGTAAATGAATCATGTTGTGTAAGTTAAAGTGAGCTCTTATTCATCATCATTAATTAGCCTATCGTAGTCCACTGCTGGACGTAGGCCTCACGTGCCAGCTTCCACATCTGTCGGCCTTGCGCTGATTGCATCCAATTTGTATGAATACGTTTAATATAATGGGATCATCTTGCAGATGGGTGTCCTCTGCTTCGGAGAGCTTCATGTCTTGATCTCCATTCCATTACTGGTCTGGTCCATCGGTTGTCCTCCATTCTCGCAATGTGCCCTGCCCAGTTCCACTTCAAAGTTGGCACTGATCTCTTACTTCTGCGTTATTTAAAAGAAATATATTTTTGGTGTCTCATTGTATATTATATATAGGACTACCCAATTACTAATTCTTCTCGGGTTAATCCAAGATAGAACAACGACTTAATTTCGTCGTCAATAAGGTCTTCCTGGGCCAAGAGATGATCTTGGGCAAACTCAGGAGTGAGGAAATCTAACGACCTCACTAATACATGGGCAATAACTGTTGAACTGCTCCCAAATATAGTTTATAGGGATTGATGTGAAGCTAAGATGCTTTTCGAGGCAGTCTGATGTTGGCCTGCGTGAATTAACTTTACTCGCCACATGCATTCTTCTTATTATTACGTTACTCGCCCCAATTTCGGTTTGCAGGCTCTTTGAGACCCATGATCCTAATTACCGAAGGCATTATCTGTCGTCTAGTATAACTAATAATAATTGAAATAATATAATATAATAAGGTCCATGGCCATTTATAAATTCCAAGGATTACGAATGAAACACAAGTTTCCCAACTTTGATAAAGCAGTAAAATTAATGTGCTGCTACGTTTTTAAACTCCGGTAGCAGCTTTGATTTTCCAAATTTAAGTTGACAATATGTTGAATGTCTGTAATATTGGTGGCTTTAGGTTTTTTGACCGACAATAAAAACAATTCCTATCTTTTTCAAGGACTCGCCTTTGATGATCGCATTCTGGACGGCCTTCGACGGCTTTATCAGTGCTTTGTAAATCACTCAGGATTTACCATGATTGAAACGTATGTATTGCTGATCATTCTATTTTTTCGACGAAGAGAAAATGTATTCATAGTAATTACAAGAAAGAAAAAAATCCAAAGGCCTTCAATCGCATGATCTGAGCGGCCAATGCCGATCTCCCAAAAGAGAATTAATACGACCAGGAAATGGCTAGTGGAGTAATTCAACATTTTCCCTGGCTGTATGGCATGATGCACCGCCCTGTGGAAACCACATGCTGTTGAGATCCATATTTTGCAATTTTGGAAGAAAAAAGTTAGTTAAAATTTCACGATAACGAACACCACTCACGGTTAATACTTTACCAACTGCATTTTCTGAGAAAAATGGTCCGATGATGCCTCCAGCTTGCAATGCACACCAAATAGTGCCTCTTTTTGGATGCATTTGTGTCTGCACGATCACTCGTGGATTTTCCGAACCCCAAATGCGACGGTTTTGTCGATTAAGGAAGCCATCAAAGTGAAAATGGGCCTCGTCACTAAAGACGATTTTTGTTGGAAAATCGCCGTGCAATTGTCGTTGTTCCAAAATCCAATAAATAAAGGCTCTTCATTGCACATGGTCTTCCGGCTTTAGCTCTTGAGTCAATTCAACTTTGTACGTATGAGGCTTAAAATCTTTTGTTCAATTGCGATCAATGGTAGTTGTGGAAACACCAATTTCTTAAGCTCTATGCCGAATTGATGTGATTCGGCTTTCCTCAACAATTGCACGTACTGCTGCGACATTTTCAGTCAAACGACCAGGACGAACGCTGTTTATGTTTTCACTTCATTAACAGACACAGTTTGCTGAAATTTCTTCATTCATTTTCTCACAGTCTCTTCAGTTGGAGCATTCCGTGTTACGTGCAAATATTTTGCCGTAAACCTTTGAATCTGTTTTGGACATCGGTGTGCGTTTTCAAGTTGTTGTCACGCAAAAGCGCTTTGGTTTTTTATCATAATTAAGTTAAAATTTTGCTGTAAAATCCAAACCGAGAAAATTTGACAATTTTTATCGCGGTGAAAAGATTGTTAAGCAGATAGCGTGGGATCACGTGTCCGTTAGGGCCAATGAATTCGGGAATTTTTTTATTCCTGTGCCAACGGAGAGTTCGAGGGAATGTTATGTAGTAGTATTTTTGGTGGCTAGGATGATTAGGCCGTTACCATTTCGATCGAGTGGTCGATTTTTGAGAGGAGAGATTACCATGGTCGGTTTTTGAGTATTTTCTTTTTAGTATCAAGATATTCTTTGTGAGCGCTTTTCATTGGATAAAGAGAGTGTCCAATCAGCCCAGGTAGAAATTTGAGACACAGAAGTCGGATAGACAAATCCATGATGGCCGCCATGGCCGCGTGTCACTGATTACAAGTTCTTGGAACAATTCTTTAAACCCAGTTCTTTTCGTAACCTCATCGTGGGTTTGATCACCTTACGAGGAAGCTATGGTGACTATTGGCTTTTGGGATTTTGATGTTGATGCTGCTTCCCCGTCCTTTTGGTACAAGTTGTATGCTACTTCGAAGCATACTGGCACCCAACTGTTTGGTGAAGACGATTATCATATATAGTTTTGAATTTTTCCGTTTCCGATTTTTTTCCGTTTAATTTTAAGATTAATCCTGTACTGAGTTGTTGATTAGTTAATTACTTTATGCTGAAACATTCAAGTTTGACTGCATTTTCGTTCAGTTTATTTTCTCCTTTAATTTTGATTCACAGTTGATTAATTTCGGCTAATATTTTGGTACTTCCTTATGTTTACGACCGTTATTCATTGGAAGAGCTGCGAGGCTGCCGACGGAAGTGATTACTCCAGCTGGTCCCCTTCAGAATCTTTCACCATCTAGGCTTAATTGAAGTTAAGGTACTCAATGGATAAGAGTTGCCAGAATTATCCGAGTGTTACACTCTGCTCAAATTTATTTCCTTTCATAAAGCCATAAAGTGTTATCAGTGAAACACAGTCAATTATTTGCTAAATTATATTTACTGAAGACTTAACTCTTAAAATAATTTTAATTTCTTGTTCATTCCGACCGTGTTTCTGTTATAAAAAAAGTTGTTGAATTGAATTTGAGTGTGCCTAATTTGGTGTTGTCCATTAAGGGTTCAAAGTGTTACTTGCTTGCGGCCGAATACTAGCTCTTGCTCTAACTCACGCCCGAGATTTATACAATCTAGTTAGAAATAAATTTCATAACATCCCATAGTACATAATTGTACGCATTTTGTGAACAATGGCTGCAAAACTTCCACCACTTTTAATTTTAATTTTTTACAATGAGTATTCGTTATTGTGTATTGAGCCGCTCCATTTTACTTAACCCCCTGCTCTATTAGGGAACCGCATTTTTTTTATTTTAAATCATGGCTCTATGAATGGCGCGCAATTTAAAACCGTTGTTCTTATTGGAACACCCTTTATGTTTAGCATTTTCAATTTTCAATTACCCTTTGAGCGGTTTTAAAAATTTTGAAAATATAGTTATTTAAATAAATAAGCCTGTGAAACGGGATTTGCGTGTGAAAAAAATCGGAGTACTATTTTTCTGTACTTTCCAATAATTTCCCACTCGTAAATCCCGATTCACAGGCTTATTTATTTCAAAACCAAAGTTTACAAACTTTTTAAAACCGCTCAAAAATCTATAAAAATTGAAAAAAGGTAAATATAGCAATTGTATCTATATGATAATTTAATCGTCCAAGAAGGTGTAAAAGCGCGGACGCAAAATTAAAAAAAACTGTTATTTCCTTCTTGTTAGGTTATATTTAACATTGCAAAAACTGATCCTAATTGGCCTTGCGGCTCTAGTTTTCCATCGCAGTCAAGTACTTTTATTTAAATGTATGGCATGATTGGGTTATTTTCCTTTGTTAAAAAAAATTATTTTTAATTTCCTTGTTTTTCAGCTGCTATTTTTACACTTTCGAGCATTTTGCATCGAACACTTCAAATCTACGGACATCGGAGCCACTCTATCGTGTGGAAAATTTAATCACGAACAAATTTATATAAGTACCTATACGTTTTTATCTAAAATGCATGTTTTCCGACATATATGCGATTGTTTCCGGGTTTCCGCGTTTCCGATTTTCGATTATCGATTTTTTTTTCACCCTTTCGTTGTTTATGCAAATAGCACACCTTTTCAATCTAGCGCACCTCGATATTTTCCATAGGTTTTTCCCGAGCGATTCCAATAGTTATCCAAGTTACCTCCGTTAGAGCCATAATTGAAAGATTTGGTCGTAATTCTCCTGGTCAATTTTTACTTAAGCAATTTGTACATTGTATTTTTAGGTATCTGCTCGGTGGAAGAAATAAATTGTTGAATGTCTCAATACGAAATTTTTAAGATGCATATTTTCAATATTTAAAAAAATTAAGTGCTACATTACACATATGATTGATTTCATGACATTCTAAAATTATGCCTAGTTCACAGAAAGAAGACGTATGTTTCGTTCATACGAGTTGCGTGCATGTTGAAGAAGCAAAAAGTCCCCCATGAGAGCAACTGGTGTTATATAATATATTTTGCTATATTGGAAACATGGGGAAGTTTTATTTACGTATCCGTCTGATTACGGTAGCTCTAGTTTCAAATGTTCCTGACACAAAGCGTAATAAAAAGCTGACATAAACAGCTCATTCCATTTTTAACATGGCACACTTTTAGTGCTAAGGAAATGGGTTTATTCAAAGTTATATTAGGTATTGTCCCGGCAGACATAGCTGGTGGCCGATGTGAATTAAACGTATGAACTGCTGTTATGTTTTAAAGTTATGACGGACACTATCTTATTTGTTAACTGTTTTCTCCGCAGACTTGTACAAATCTGCGAAGTTCATGAAATTCGACTTATATCCAATGTGTTGAAAATCAATTTTTTTAGACTTTTCTTTATTCATGCAAATATAAAGCATATTCTTCATTTCGAAGTAAAAAAGCTGTGACGGATGAAAACAAGTTGAGTGAGGGATGAAAACAAAACTGTAGGTTTCAAAAAAGATTTCAGATACTCCACGGCTAGTTTTTACGCACTCACCGCAACAATATGTAACATTTTCAGTCATAAGTTTCTAAAGTTATTTGATTTTGTTGATTGAATCTAATATCAACTGTAGAAAAAAACAGGATTCCGAAGTTAGTTTCTTTAACGTTTCAGCTAGCAACACAAGGATGTCGCATTTTTTAAAACTCGAAAACTTTAACGCTTACATGATCCTGAGATTAACTCGTATCTACGGAGCTTCCGGACCGCACACTTTGAAAAGTAAAGTAATTTGTTATAAAATAGGAGGCTATTTATACTACATGGAACGTTGGATTTAAACCGCTCTACGTACAAATATTTAAAGTGGAAATTTGGGTTTGATTTTGGATTAAAATATAAAAATGTCTATTCTCACCATTTCCATCATATTTGAAGCGGGCGGTTGACCCCATATCTGGCCCAAAGCGACGCTCTGTCTCATTTTGTTATGATGGTCTATTATAATTTGCTTTTCTTGTGGAGTAACTCCATTGGCTCCTGAAATAACACATTCTTCATAATGTCGCCTGTAATTTGGAGACAAGGGTTTCCATTATACCATTAAATTTGTCGATTCCTCTTCTTACAGAAAATTATGATTAATTAAAATAAATAGAGCGATTTATTATTATGGCAACAGCCGTAAGCTTCGTGTATAAGAAAATTGAAAAGCACATGAAATATTAGTATTGACTACATTGAGTATACGTCTGTGGAGTTAACATACCGAACTTAAATTTTCTGTAATTTATTAGAAAGTTGATAAGAAAAACGAAATATAGTCCATGATGAAGACCTTCACATAAATTATTTATGTGTAAAACAAGTGACAACTGTGTTAGTTAATTTCATTTTTTAAACATATGAACATCCAATAAAATTGCATAATAGGATGGGTTGATACAAGGAAAATTTGATTTTGATTACGCAGAAATATTTTCTCAATCGCAGTCGAAGTAGTTGATAATTTTCTGATTAAATTAGTTACTAAAAGCATCCTGGTTCACTTTAGTATTTTGTATAAAATAATTTAAAATAGCAAATAAAGTTTGGAAGAATTTGCATTTTATATGACCACTCGGGTCTTCGACTATGATATAGAGTGAGAGATTAACCTATGAAGTGGGTAGGTACTCAACTAAAATATTTCCTACCAGAATACCTATAGAAAGTATCGTAAACTGGGCTGCAGTTCTGCAGAGGTAGGAAAAAAGCAACTAATTATTTACCGGCATCTAGTGAGTTATAGGGTGTTTTTAGTGCGAGAGAGTCCATTATTTCCGTTGGTGTTAAACTTTCGAAAAATAGTTTTATATAGAAGTTTTTGACGCATAAAGTTCGCACAGTTTAAAATTTTTTATATGATACAGAGTGTCTCAGAAAAGTGAGGGAAGATCAAAGTGTATTTTTTAAATAGAACTACCCATTTTTCATCAGCTCATGGAATCCAGCGTAAAACGCTGCATATGCACCGTAAATTGTTTTTTCTTACGGGCGACGTTGGCAGATTATCGCCATTTTAGTAAAATTTTGCTTAAAAACATGGTATGTATCTAAAAATTAATTGTAAAAGCAAAAAAAAACGCAGTTAAAGATACACAAAAATACGTCTTTCCAATCGCCACAGATTCGTTAAGAATTTTATTGAACCAAAATATCAATTCAATGTACAGTGTCATTGTACAGGGTATTGACAATGTGGACTTAAATCTAAAACTTTTAACGCAAAATAACTTTTGTTTTTCAAATGAAAGTACTTGTATCTATTTTAATACGTCATTAGACAGTTTACAAAGTTACAAATTTGCGTTTACACTTTAGACTGTGAAATCAACCGTTTTCAAATTACAATTTATTTTATTAAAAAAATTCAGAAAGTTGTTACATTTTGTAAGATGGCTATGGAATTCAATTAACGAGTGTCAAAATTTTCTTTTTATCTATGCAACTTCAAGTAATTGAATTATAATAATGTAAAGATATTTTTATTCGAATGAATCTAAAAGTGACATTTTTCGATCTGAAACGATGATCAAGCACTTTCCTTTACTGTTCCTATGTTTAACTTTTACGCACATGTGCGCAAAAGTGAATGTGACAAATTGAACGTGTCACTGTCATAAAATATTTTCATTAAAAAGTAACCGAAAGGCTTTTTTAATTAATTACGTAGGTTTATAGGTAGGTATCTATTGATCATAATCTAAAGTTTACTTACAATTTGTAAATTATAACTTTGTTACAAGTTCAGTCTCAAAGTCATTCAAATGGTCTATTTTTATGCGCTCGCCGATGTTTCCACAAGCAAAACACGATTTGTTTAAAGAGCGCAAATTTTATGCAAAATATGCATCTTATACAAACACCATATTGTGAAAGAAGCACTTGAATTTTCAACACTCATTGTTTCACCTGCATATGCTTACACAAGTACGCTTTTGAAAAATTGCAAAAGACAAAACATGACAGTTTCAAAAATGGCATTGACATCAGATATGTCTGTATGTATGATAAAATATGAAGTTGATGCCTTTTATTTTCGGCTATTCTTATTTACTGTAACTTATGATTCGTGATATGTTTTTCATTCGATTAAATAATGTTATTCGATACTAGGGCGAAAATACGTTTTTCGCCCTTGCATCGAAAACTACTATTTTTTAATACGTAGGCGTTCTGGAAATTATATGCCTAAACATGTAAATTGATATTAATAATGTCAAATTCAACCTGATTTAAATACATGTATATCAATTAGGTAGTAAAAAAGATTAAAACACATTCGAATGAATATAAGTTCTATAAACTAAACTTAAAGAAAATTTGATAGGTAACAAACTTAATATATTCTTTTGATTTTTGCGGCGTCAAAAGTTGAATAAATAGGGTCCGGCAATAAAACGGGAAGATTTGCGGTGGGGTTGGCAGAACGCACAAAGTGGTGGAGACGAAAGTTACCTTTTGGTTATGGCCTCCCATATTTTACAATGGATCATTGGTAATGGTTCATATTTTTTCGAGGATGATGCTGAAAATGTTCTGACTGAGGTTGAGGTGATTCAGAACTTTTCCACACCACATTTTGCTCGCTTTCGAACGAACACAACGAAACACACAACAAGCCACACTACAAAAATCTCAATAAATGATTTGCATGTTTTGTTTACGAGACGCATTATTTGTCGGAATCAGAATTTGAATTAGCCCTCTCGGTCTCCCGACCTCACAGCCTGCGACTTATTTTTATGGGGCACCTAAAAACGAAAATTTTTCAAATTGATCCACCCAGGAATTAGAGACGAGATTGAAGCAATTGCTGTCAATTTGCTGCACCGAGTTAGAAACAAAGGTCATTTGACTGATGTAAAATTCAGAAAATAATGATTTTCCCATTTGCATACCAAACGCCTAGTCTTTAGCATTTTATTAATATCTTAATGAGTTAATGAAAAGATAAGTTTATAAAATAAAATCATTTTCGAAATATTTCCGTTTCATTGCCGGACCCTGTCCTGATATGGTTTAATTCAATTATTTGCTTGTTCAGTAACTTACTTAGAAGTTGCCTCTGGCATGTTGCAGCTTTGGTAAGCCGAGAAAATGCAATGATCAATATGATTAAGTAGATCTCGTGGATTAACATGGTCATTCTGAAACATAAAGAGTATATAAGTACATTTTAAAGTCCTGTAGATATGGATAGGTTTCAGTCAAAATCAAAATATTGAATACACAGTTTTAAACAATTTTTGGTCTCGAAAATAGGATTAAATGTTATAAATAATGAACACATTAGACGCAATCGTAATTGCAAATATTTGTCAAAAAAATGTCTGGTTCAATCGTCGTCAGTAACAACTAGCTCAGTGCATTTAAATTAGGAGCAATATCTTAATACACAAATCACAATACCTAAATACATATGTATATTTGCATTATAATTTAACTAAACTAATATTTATGTTTAAAAAGTTATTTGCGCGCTAAACTTGTGTTTAATTTCTTAAAATTCAATGAACTTAAAGTGATAATTATTACATCGTCTAGATATGTGATTTATACTACTAAACACTAGAGTTTAATATTACGTAAAAATTCGTATTAGAACAGATCTGTTTGCTATTTAATTAACTTAATTATAAGAGATGTGATCCATACGTAGTTTGGATTAATAGAAATTAAGTTATGAATATTGAAAGCATTTTTTGGGTTCCTTGATATTCTAACTGCTGATGTGTAATTTATCGAATTATTTCATATCAGTCATAGTTAGAAGATATTTAATGACATCAAAATTAATTAAATATACCGTAACTTCAACTGAACTTAATAGCTACCAGTATAAACTATTAACATAACATACACGTAGTAAAGAAACCCGATAGCTTTCATCAAAATAAAACATTTTCGTTTCCATTAATGAAATAGTATTAAATATTAATGTGTTATAATTGCTGTTAAAACTTTCATTGATTTATTTACCGTAGGTACAATAACATATTTATGAGAATTGAAATATCAAGATTTTGTAGAAGCTTTTGAGAGAAGTGCTGTTTAGCATATTTTTAGTTTACCGTAATTTTAATATTAGATAAGGCATACTACTCAAGGTTATAAGCCGGTAGATTTACATAATGGCAAGAATCAATAATTTTTAAATGCACTGGGAATTTTTTATTGAAATGTGCCGAATTGCATTGTTTGACGCCCTGGTTTACAGAATGGTGATGGATTGGATCAGACCCAACTCAAGTATTTTAGTTTGATGAAAAATTTAACTGTATGTCGAAAAACCGAATAATTGGAAAGCTTTCCCTATATTAATACTAGTCAGTTCGGAAAATATGGAAAAAAGAACATACGCAGATTTGAAGAGAGTTATGAAGCTAGCGGCACAATAACTAGGTTCAAAACTCACAGCGCATGGTGAATAAATAGCATGAACTTAAAACGCAGCTAATTCATTCATCAATGATCCACACAAATATATGTAATGAAGAATCGGTAATTATATAACCGATAAGCCGTTAAAGCCTTCTCATAAAAGTGTTTAAGTAAATCTTATTTAAAAAAAAAATTCTGAAAAATTGCCACAGCACACTGACCAAAAATCTTAAGCACAGGTTTTCCAAATGGAAGCAAATCAGTAAATGAACCGTTGCGTGATCTGAGAGCGAAATTACTTTCCAGTTTCCACTAGCTTTAGAAAAAGTGTTTGCTACAGCCACAAATGTATACATTTTAAGAAGGCACAAATCTGTGCTATATGAAGATTTTCCATTAGCAGTGGCGTGCGGTGAAATTTTAAAGAAGGGAAGCAATTTTTAAATTTACCTGACCTACTACTACTACTTGTATAGTAGTACAAGACACACTATCTACAATCTAAGTAAGTTACATTCTACGGATTGTAAATCAAACGCACAGTTCTGTTATGCTTCATTTCTGTCTAATCGGCATATTATTAGTCAAATCATATTGTAAAATTAACAAATTGAACCTTTTACATTTAGAAATGTTTTCCGGGCTTTGAAGCCGTGGTCTATCGGAATTTCTTCCTGACGTTTCGTCCACAACTGCGGTGGACATTGAACCTTAACTGTTACTAAATGCCTCTTTATGAAAAGCGAAACTTTAACACCTCCAAATATTATACAAGTAGCAGAAAGCCACTACGAACTACTTGCTACCAACAAAGCATCGGCAAAAATAAGAAGTTGCTCATTTGAAGTTTTTTAGACAACGTATTGTTGCTTATTTTCAAGAATTATCACGTAAGATGTAAAACGTTCTTCGATGTGACCCTTAAATTCTGCGTTACGAACAACACATTCATAACAATATAAGCACTTCTACCAAATTACTAGAACTCTACTGAAAATAAAGTCTGATGGTATTAAAAGCCTCGAAGTCCAAGATTTGGTCTGCAAAGAACATTAAAACTATTCTGGAAAATGCACTGAATAGACAATATTTATCTATAAAAGTATAACGTTTACATTTTTTAATACATACGAAGGCGTATGTAAATTTTAATAAAATTTTGTAGTTCTGGGCTGCTGTCAATATTTCAATCGCAAATGCAATTAGCAATAATTGTATTCGCAACTTCATTCTTAAACTAGTCGTTGGTTTTTTCCGAATTAATATTGTAATAGTAGTTTTTAGTCGAATGAATCTAAAAGTGCCATTTTCCGATCAGAAGCGGTGATCATAAAGAAACACCTTTCTTTACTGTTCATTTGTTTTACTTTTACGCACGGACTTTTACGCGCAAAAATAAATGTGATATATTGAACGTATCACTGTCATTATGTTTTTCATACTCACTTTAAAGGTATTTCATTCAGAAGTAACCGACGTGCTCTTTTAACTAATTACGTAAGTATTGACAACTATTGGTCATAACTTAAAGTTTACTTACATTTTGTAAATTATAATTTTGTTACGACTTCAGTCTCTAAGTCGTTCTAATGGTCTATTTTTCTGCGCTCGCCGATGTTGCCACAAGCAAAACACGATTTTTAAATAGCGCAAATTTTACGCAAATTATGAAACTTATACAAACACCATACCGTTAAAGCAATACTTGAATTTTAAACATTCATTGCTTCACTTACACAAAAAATACAAACGTGAAACGTGACAATTTCAAAAATAATATTGAATCAGATTTAAAATATGAAGTTGATGTCTTTTATTTTTGGATATTTTTATTTATTATAACTTATGATTCGTTTTATGTTCTTTATTCGAATAATAAAATATTCTTTGATACGAGAGGGAAAACTCGACTTCGTCCCGGGTCTCAAACGTCGTCGTCCTTCGAAAAACGACACTTTTCGCCGTTGTATCGAAGTAGTAGTTTTCGAGAAATCAAGATATATTGTGCGAGGTATTTAATAGTTTTGTCGACCGAAGTATATATAGAATTTTTTTACTACTAACACGGATAATTTTCTAAATTTTTCTCTAAAATACTGACTGTCGTTCAGTTGTCAAACTGCCGCAATGTACTTTTTCTGTCTCGAGAAAACATGAAAAACTCTCCTGGGAAAGGCGAAAAATTTGTGAATAGTCAAGTTAGAGTGATTTTAGAACTGAAAATCGCTGGAATCGCTCTTGAACTTATAGAGGTAGGCAAACTAAAAATAATGAAAAACTTAAACATCTTTCATTATTTACCTAGGGACTTTTTTATTATTTTTATCGACCTAGTGAGAGAAATATAGTGACTTAGGTATAGTGGTAAAAAAATGTTTTAATGGTTTCAGTTAAATCTGTCAATTTTTGCAAAAGTTTGCAGCAGTCGTCGTAAATAACGCGAACATTTTTACCACATACAGTCCGCGACACTTGATTACTCTCACCAACAGATTTGAACTCATGTTTGTTAACAGTCAAAATTTTGATAAGCAAGCCACATGTATCATTGGATACAACTAGTAATTCACTCGTTCTTCACAATGGAGAAATTGTTAGAAGCAACTATAATAATTGATAGTGCGACACTTGATTACTCTAATTAACTTTTTAGAACCTTAGCTAAGTAGAAGAAACAAAACCTAGTCACTTGACAACGGATTGGCAGTTGTCTAATAGTAATTTGAGTATATTTGAGTGTTCTAGAAGTGATTGGTATTGATGTGGGACGCGGCAAAACTATATCGTTAAAAGAAAGAGGGCGAATTCAAGCTTACCGAGAGGAGAATATTCAAAACGAGAAATTGCATTTGCTTATTTGAAAAACAGCGAACACTACTGGAATAATCGACAAGGACGCACTTCCATTGCAACAACACTAAGGGAACGTCGTGTAATTCTTGACTTGCATCCAATTCTTCGTCCACAGCTAGACAAATAAGGGATCGAAGTGGAAGGAATGCGTCCATACGCACTATCCAAAAGGTAATAAAGAAACGTCCAAACTTAAAAAGACGAAAACTACACAAGAAGCCTTTGCTGCTTGCACGTCATCGACAAGAACGTCTAGAGTTTTCATGCATTCACCGTAACTGGACAGATGAATAAAAACATGTCGTTGCTGTCACGACTGAAAAGAAATGTAACCTGGATGGTCTTGGTGCTTTCCAATATTACTTTTATGACGTAAGGATGGCAGATAAATTCTTGGCTCACCGTCACAGTCGGGCGTTCAGTAGTGATTTGGGCAGCAATTTCAAGTCAAGGCAGAGTTGGCATCGAGTTTCTAGAAGATCGGCAAACTGCTCAAAAGCATTTGGAGCTGCTGCAATGGCAAATTGCTAACATAATCGCTTTATTTCCGGATCAAGAATGGATATTGCACAAGACAATGCGCAAATTGACACCGCCCAAATAATCCAAACCTAGTTGACTGCTAATAATATTTCAGTTCTAGACTGGCCCGCTATTTCCCAGACTTAAATATTATAGACAACTTATTTGTTTCGTCGGTCAAACGCGTTTATACTGAAGGAAGCCAGTTTAATAATAGAGAAGAATTAATCGCCGCTGTTAGAACCCCATGGGACAAAGTTCCAGTGAATCTAATAGAAAATGTATTCAATTTATTGCCTCGTCGAATGTTAGCAGTCATTGAGAAGCAGGAAGGGCATACCAAATATTTAAATAAGTATTGGGTTTCAATGTTGGGTTCTAGATCAATTCCAAAATATAAGAGTAATCAAATCTCATTGAAAATTACAATATTTGCTCTACAGGAAAAAATCAAATGTAGAATACAAAAGTGTAAAACAAATTATTAAATAAATGTTGTTAAAATTTTTAATCTAGTGTTTGATGTAGCTTATTAAATAACATTTTTAACATTAGTAAAAATTAGTCAAAATGATTAGGTGAGAGTAATCAAATGTCGCGCACTGTATGTCATATTTTCGGTTAAAATAAAAACAATAAATTGTGGATTTGCTGGAGCAGCAATGACATATTTTTAGGAAATGAAAGTTTCAAAAAAGCACCTTGTACAGGTAAATACAGATGAGATGACTATTTTTCAATGGAACACATGTTCTATTTTTCGTTCAGGTCAATTTTTGTAGAACTCACCTAAACAAAATTTTATGGGATTTAAGGAATCATAGCAAATTCTTAAACAGTGATGAGTTGTTTAAAAAATGTGGAATTGCGAAAACGTTTTAATAAGTTTTACTGTAATTGCCAATATGTACTAATTTTTCTTAGGGCGATTTTGGATGCGACAAAGTTTGCAAAAGAGGACTCGACCCTAAATGACTTTGATTCTTTGAATTCAGAATCTAGTTGCAGTGGTGGATTGAGCCATTTTTAAGAATTGCAGATTTTAGGTTTTCTTTGGCTCTAATCGAACTGAAAGTTGTTAATCTTAATAGAAATAATAGAAGAACAATTTCCACAAAACCTCAATTAACCGTAACTCTAAGATTATAAGTTTTGCGTCAGTCGATTTGTGCAGTTGCTCATCAAATTTTCGACAATATCAAACCAAATTATTTTTCAGTTTATTCGAGAAAACTTATGATAGGACTCAGGAAAAATGTAAAGCTTTTTTTAGGACGACTCAATGTCGGTAAGGATAAACGGATATACGGATACGGATATACTAGATAAATCTGATGATGGATTTCGTAACATCTATATAAAATAATACAGGGTGATTCAAAACTGGCGTCATTCCTTTTAAGGGGTGATAGAGGCTCACTTGGGGAGTACTCCAAAAATATTGAAAATTTCTAGACGAAATTAACAGTTGAAAATCGAATTTCAACTTTGTTATTAAGCATTACTTTGAAATTTTTCAATGTTCAATTGGTAGGATATTGCTTGAAATTACGAAAATTTTCGATATTAAAAAAGTACTCTTCTACAATTTTTTGATGGAAAGTCAAAGCGATGTTTTTTGCCATTTTTTGACAATTTGTCAAACAGTGACTTACTTTGAATTGCCTTTCACGAATTTGCGGATATGTGATTAGTTCAGGGGAAATGTTACAGTGACATAGCAGAAGCTGAAAGAACTCACGCCAACAAAGGGCAAGGAGAGTGATTCCAGGAAGATAGTGGACGACAATCGATGTTCGGGTTCCAGACACAGAGGAACAAGTATTGGACATAATCGAATCAGGGCCTTCCAGAGGTACTCGGAGCACAATAACTAACACTTTCCCAAGCACCAGATAAATACCGAGGAAGGGCTACATTCCTACCACGTTTGTACGATACACACATCACAAGGAGATATAAATGGAGCAAGAGTTAATTCACTGAATACGAAAAGCTGCTTGATAAGAGTGAATAGTAAGGAGATTACACAGGCACTAGCTTGTTTGGATTTAACTATTCAAATGTTTGGTGTTGTATGGTTTATTTTTAGACACCGATTCGAGGTTATGAGAACAGGTTGTTATTTCGAAAGTCCGTTGTGCGTCAACGAATCTTGTTGAATTTACCATTTATCCTTGTCTTATCTTATTGTCACTCTGTATAATTCCATAGTTACCGGAGTTTTAAATAATTACGAAGCAACAGGTATTTGCGCAATGTTAATTAGGTAATTACCTTGAAAAACATTGCTGCCGTATTTCTGACATAGTTTTTTGCAAATTTCTATGCTTTTAATAACAATGAATTTCTTTTACTTTTTTTTATCTGCTCCTATAACAGCGCCAGACGAATCACGCCAATTTTGAATCACCCTGTAGATTAAAACTTGGGTTTGACTGTGCAAAGCATCCACACCAGAAAAATATGTGCTCGATTCTTTAATTCTATAAACAGTCGACGACTTGATTCTCTTCAGCATTGGAAAAGCTTATTGGTCGGCAAAGACCAAGTGAGCCGTCCACATCAGAGCAATATGTCGCAAAAGGTGGGAAGGCGCCGTTATCTTTGCAAAAACGTCCCATGTCCTCATTTAGGTATCTTTGCAATTTAAAATCTTTTGTTCTCTGATTTTAAAACAATTCGCCGTACAAAAATCTTTAAACTCGATATTCATTCTATACTTGATAATAGATCTGCTGTTTAAAGGCATTTTAAAATAACATTAGCAGTAATACGCTGGTACTCGTTTAAACATTATTCAATATCAACAAATAAGTAAAAGTAATATAAAACGAGCTTTGATGGCATTGAAAATAATAAATTTATGACGGAAGATTCAAAAGCATTCAAATACATACTGCCTTATTCGCTTACAACTTTCATTCAGTTTAATTTCATGCCTCGCGAGTGATTTAATAAATTTTACTGTTGGTAAATCAATCAGATACAATATTCGAAATTAAGCAGTGTACCACAAAACATTTAAATGCTTCTCTCTCTATCCTGTTAATTGCCTGAAATTAATTTAAATAATTTTGTCATTACCATGCCACTCTTTGCCCGTTTTATGGCCGTCTGGTTCTGATTTTTTGTAGAAAAGTTATATCTTCAATCAAACCTTCAAATTAGAAAACACCTGTAGTACCACTTATTCGTTATTATATATACTTTTTTATTTAGTTTTTATTGTCACAATGTAGGTGTTTTTAATGAATATCTATGTAAATTATAGCTTGTGATGAAAGACGCAAATACGTTTTATGGATATTTAAGAACTTATTTTAATGTAAACATTAATGATTTCCCATTTGTATAAAATGTAATTTCAATGGAAAACCACCAATAAAAACAGTAGTTGCTAAGTTTGGATGTTTTGCAGTAGTGATTTATTAAATTCTTATTTAGCTCGTCAAAATTATCATTATTTAGTTAAAACATAACATACCAATTTTAAATTAATAATAGGCATGAAATGAAATGTGCGCATACTACAAAAAAAAACATTAACATGTAATTCTCAATTCCAGAATGTCTTCAAAATACTTTGAAATATTTTATGAACTGCATATAATGAGGTATGATTTGAGAATCAACTCCATACTTGAAACTAAATATATTGAAATTTCTTGTTAGTAAATTAGAGAGGTTGTCCTTACTTAATATGCGATTTTAATACTAAAACATATTTAAAATTTGCTTGTCACTAAAGTCTTTAGTACTTGCCTAATTGATGTGTTTCATTCATTAATAATTAATAGTTATATTTTAATATTTGACTAATCCAATAAACTATTTCAAAATGCCGGTATTTCCAAAATACGAGTTTCAGAAATTTAAATCACATTTAAACAACATGAATAAGTCATATGAACTAAAAGGACTTACTTGATTTAAAATATGGAAAATCCAGGTGCAGTAAATAAAAATTGAAATCAAGCTGATTACACGAAATGTCCAATAAAGAATCACCTTCACGTGCAATTTCGTTTGCGGAAATGTCTTTACTATATGGACGGCTAAAAAAAGACGACGAATGCCGCCAATCTGTCTGACCAGCACAGATAAACTCGAGCTGGGAACTTCGGTATCTGATTATATATCCTGCCGATCAGCCAAACTTGAGCCCCAAGGGCAATTAATTTGAAGACCTGCTGGTTATCGCGATGCAGAAACAGTCAGTCCACTGGGTGTCGTGGACCTCGGTTTAATCATTTTTAATTATTTGCAAGATTTGAAAAGATAGCTCAATGCTAGCTGCTGAAAATTGATGATTAGCACACTTCGATTTTAAAATAATGTATGTTAAAATGTATTGTTAGTACGAATCAGGTAGCCATGAACAAAACCAAGATCAAAAGTTGCACCTGCCGCGATTTTTAATAAAATATGTGGTTTAAACTTGAGACACACACATACCTTGATGACTGCATTATGGATGATCTTCGCACGCAACGGGAGTATGAAACAACCTAATTGGTATGGACAACCTAATTGAAGTCTGAAAATTAGATTTGTGTTTTTGTGGACGCATGTACATTTATCATATTTATTAGTAAGTGCAAATTTAAGTTTTTAACTTCTAGGGTAGTTGATCAGTAAATAAACTGGAGTGTATTGTTGGAGCTTCAAAACAAACCAAACATATTTATGGGATCACTGCACATTTATTTTACATTTTAATAAAACAACATGACATTATTATTATTGGTGCCAAACAACTTTCGCCTTTCTTTTAGCTGAATTGATAGAAACTGCAGAAACACTTGATGAAGAATGTGATCTTGATCATATAGCTGTTTATGACATACTTGGCTAGACATCAGTCCCATCACTGTATCGCATTTTTTCAATTCTTATGTTAATGATGTTATTCATCCATTTGGGGATGTTGTGTAAGAGATTTGGTTTACGAAGTTGCAGTAATTCTAATTTAGTAATTAAATATCGTACTTAAAATGTAATTAGTTGCTGTTCTTTAACAACTCTATGACCGATTGATATGTAATAACTAATTCAACGCCAAAGGCTATTTCTCGAAAAGTACACACCGCCAATGGACATCATCATACGATGTTGTTTCAATGAGCTTTGATTTTGACAGGTTTTCAATTGACAGCCTTATATTTTTAATATTAGCTGATTTTGAACGTAAAAATTCAAAGTAACTCGCTGTCGACTTTAAATGCATATGTAATTGCTTAATAACTACATTTCTAATGTTACTAATTACTACTTTATGCAGACGCAGACCGAAATCGAGATATATCATAGTAACGAGAGAAGTAATTATACTGTTTTTATATAGTAGGCTTATTACATACGATAGAGGAAAAGTCAGGTATTGAACATTTATTTTTAGTTTGTTTTAAGAAAGTTTTATTAGAGTTCGTCGCTTTTAAAATATGTCCATGCCTGATTTTTGGAAAGAGTTAAAACGAATGCACTTTCTGGAGTTACACAATATGTTATATTTCAATAAAGTCATATTCACAAACGTATTTTGCCAAAAATCGTTGATATGATCGACAGCTTTATGTGAGCCTGTTAATATGTGAATTTTTACTTTACTTCTTCTGCAACGACTCATTTATGGCAAGTGATATCTGAATTGGAGAGGCGTGCTAAAGAGTTATTTTTCTGTAACAGGTTCCAACCTTGCAGTTCCACTTTAGAAATAGGTTCCAAAAGGAACATGTCACTTTTAAAAATTTCTTTAAAAATTCGCAGGATGATGATGATAGAAATAGTTGTCTCTATTTATCAATTAAAATACGTTTCGTATTTTCGGGAAAATGTAGGCCAAGGCTTAAAGCAGCAACAACGCTACACATAAAAACTGATGATGGTGGAAAAATACACCGAAACGTATTTTAATTGATAAATAGAGACAATAAATGACTAAAACCCAGGAATTAATGTTCATTTGGAATTGAAACACAGGCAGGAAAGTATATACAATGATAGAAATAGTGATGATAAATAATGATTTTGTTTATTTAAAAAAATAATTCTTACAATAGTATAGTAAGAATAATATATTCTAAAAGCAAAAACAAAACATAAGTCATAAGTAAACTACTTAAAGAAGAAAAAAACTGATAATAAAATGGAATTTCAGCATAAACAATGTTCCTGGGTCATTTATTTGGAATATCACAATTTAGCCATTAAAAAACGTTTCGGTGTTTTTCTACTATCTAATTGATGGTGAACAAACTGATGACAAACTGATAATGAAAAGAATGGATTAAATAAAACATTCGTTTTGCATCGAAAATGATTTAGTTGATTTTTATTTTAAAGTTAATTAATTATTAAAATAATAAATCAAACTCGCTTTGAAAAATAATCTCTCGCACGGTACGGAAGTAACTATAATGTTAAATTTCTATTTAACTAATTTTGTAATGAAAAGGTAATTGGCATCTAAATATCTATTATCTGCCTAATCAGTGCCTATGATAAAGGTGTATCTAAAAAGAAATTATAGAGAATCAATATCGCACAAAAATTAAAGTATGTATGTAAAAATACTTGTGTTTTTTGTTAATAAAACATATTTATCCTTTTTTTTATCTTGAAAATTAAATAATTTTCTTCTTGTCGATATTTTAACTGAACTTCCTCTGATAGATGGGGACCACAGTTTTTTATTATATCATTTGAATTATTTACGCCAGTTATCAAGTCAACAATAACATTAAATAATCCATATTAACTGGAACGCTCTCAAACAAAAATGCGTGTTTGTCAATCCTGGACGAAGTTATACTCGAGTTTCGTAGTCAGAGGAATCCTTTTTTTAATTTATCGTCGTCAGAGAACAGTAATACTTATAGACCCAAAATTCTCAATTATATCACCGCAACTAAACTATATTTCGCTTATCTGACTGATTATCGTTCTAGACGAGCAGAACCAGTAATTCTTCTAGACGAAAGAGTGATAAACACAATCATTAAGACAACTAAACACATTTTTCGTTGAAACAAGAAGCTCTTAATCTTATGTTTCATAACTTGAAATCTTGTAATAATGATACGCTAAAGATAAATTGTGCTGCTGTCCGAGACCTATTTCTGATACTTTACTTTTTAGTTAAACCCAAAGCTGAAGTTTTCCAAGAACTCGCCATTTTCAACTAGAAGTAGATTATCGCTGCTGGTATTTACTATAATTTTGCAAACCTGTCTTTTTCGATGTGGTTCTCCTTCATTTCATTCTTGTACCTGCAGTGATAGGTAAAGATCTTATTCGTTGTTCTGATTCTTACTTCGTTGTTTTGTACAATGTGGTAGACATGTGATGTGGTTGCAATTAATGCTTAATTAACCAATTGGTTCTAGGGTTCGTAGTTCAAAACAAAATGGAGGTTTCCTTGCTTGCAAAGTTACTCGAATATTGCCATGTCATGTAGATATATTATTTCCATGCAGCTTTGAAAAAAGAAATACCCAAAGGTTTCACCATTATCCTACTGAGGAGCGGGCAAGATAAAACTTACTTTGTTTATCCCTTTGTCAACCCTTTTAAAAATGGAGCACATTCATTATTTTGTAATCTTGTTGGAAAATTTCTGATACGTTCCATATGTGTACTTATTTATATTTATTTAATACTTATTTTTATTCTGAGCTAAACTGAAAAGCTGAAGTATTTTCAAACCATTACATCTTGATCTTTAATGGCCATTAACGGTCGAATTGACAAAGTTCAGTAGCACGAAGTGATATCGCAGATTGCCTCGAAACTATTGTGCATTTTGCATTGACTTCGCGAAGGCTACATTTAAGGAATATGTATTTATCTGAATTAACTTAAAGTTTAGTTAGTCTTAGTGTCATTAAAACGCATATCAATTCAAGAAGTTACAGCTACTTGACACTCTTTAATTGGCGCGAAGACTAGGTGCTTTAAAGGGCAGTTGCTTTTTACAATTTTAGCTCAGAGTTTGTGTACTGAAACCTATTTATTCGCAAATTTCCAAATTGCAATTCTCTTCCAAACATTGATACGCAAGTTTAAAGAAATCTAAAAAAAACAAATATGTGTGAAAGCTATTTTTTTTCAAAGATTAGTAGATTCGAAACTTTTGACTTTATTAACACAGCATACCTTGTAAAAATGATGAAACAAGCTGCAAGTTTAATATTATTAGTGAATACTATTTACTCGCGTGGGTCGTCGTGGTTAGATTAGTCCTGTTCCGAGGCAAGTGTGCGTTTCTGTGAGCTTGTGGTGTCTTTAACCCATGGTAGCCTGACCCCTCGCCTGACCCTGGAACCTTCCTCTTTTATCCGGGCTAAGGACCGTCAGCATAGTCATCAAGCTACTCAGTTCACCCAATGACCATACAGGCAGAATTTTGACCATCGACAATCGATTACATTGTGACTAATGGGCAATTTCACCCAACTCAAGCACTCGAAATAAGAACGTTTAATTCGGCAAATATCGGAAGCGATCATAACCTTTTACTCGAAATAATTAAATTGCAAATACAAATACCAAAACAACCAAGACCGGTGATATCAACACAGAAACTCAATATTGGACTGCTATGGGACCCCACGATAAGATACCTATACAAAAATAGGTTACAACAAAAAGCGAAGAAAACCCTATTTTAAATACTAACGACATCAAACTAGCTTTGCAGAAGCTAGATATGCAGAAGGAATCAAGAATAATATCAAGAAATCAGCACTTGGAGAATGAGCCATAAAAGTGAACCAAGTAATCAACCACAAGACACCATGGTTCTGCTCAGAAGTCAAGGAACAATGCAAAGAAAAAAGGAAAGCCTACCTAAAATATTGTACTATGCGAACGCCAGAATCATATATTGAATATAAGCAAGTTACGAAGAAAGCTAAAGAATTAACTGGGAAATGTTCTCCAAACGCTTGGAAGGTGATTTCTACGGACTTCAAAAGCAGATATGGCGATTCATTAGATCGCACAGGAACGAAGTCAATGAACTGCCAGAACCAATCCACATAAAAAAGGAAGAGTGGATCAGATATTTAACCGATCTGTATAAAACGACAAACACGGCAGACGAGCCTACCACACCAGAAATAAA